TGATATACTCTGGACTTACTCTCTGGCTGAAAGTCGCGATGGGTGGTAGGCAGGATGATGCATTTTTGACAGCTCGTCTCATGCTTGACACTTTGACATTAAATCCAACTTTGACATGATTCTTGGGGTTTGAAGATCCGGGGCTGACCGACATGATCAATTCCAAAAATGAGCACCAGGATTCATGTGATCACGCAACCGTCCAACAAAAGAATAACCTGGAAAAAAGCGTAGCCCCCAAACTTCGGAGGTGGAAAACGCCGTAAGCAACCATCATGACAATGGTAATAAAAATGTAACACTCCACGAGAAGTCGTGTCACTACAGTCAGCAACAACTGAACATTACTTCCAAGACCCATCGAGTTTGGCTACAGAACTGCAGACATGAAAAATAATGAGAATATTCAATGAAAACTATATTTACATCATTTGTGAGGGGTACAATGAACATAAACTATAGCAGTTCTCAGATTAGCTATTATATATACACAATGCGACTTCTCGAATGGTGGAAGAAAGGCAAGTCCAAGGTTGATAAGAGAATTAGAGAAAATTATAACTGTGTAAGCAACATACCGATTCGCCCTCATCGCTCTCATTATTCAGAGGATTTGGCANTTTGGCAACTCGGAAGGATTTATGAAATGATAATCCCACACGATTCGGTAATTTAAGGGGCGTTTTGGGTTTCCTGTGAAGGATAGTTGCACACTTATGCATATAGTGATAAAAACGCACAGCGGTTGCCGGATCTGTGAGAGGAGAATCAAACGGTTCTTCTCGAATTTCGCATAGATTTTTGAAGCGATCGATGTAACGGTGAATCATATCGTGTTGTGCGGAAAACTGCACAATTATGGCTTTATTTTTCATTTGAGGCGCATCACCGAAGTCGACAGCCAACCTGGAAAAGCCTTCATGTGTGTTTGGGATAGTGGTATTTGCAATTGTTGGAAGCTTTTCTTCGTGGTAAAAAGGAAGTGAAGGGTTCCCATGTGCATACGCAAGCAGGTGTAGTTTGGCTTCGGTCAGAATCCACATCAAGTCTGTTGATAAAGAATTCGTCATTTTTCTAACTATCGCACCATCCACCACGGACTCTTTGAGAAACTGATATATGAAACTCAGAAGCACATCCCATCGTTCCATAACTTTGTTGTTGTAAAACAGAGTTTTACTTTGAGAGTGGGCGCGATGTGGTTGCCAATTTCCCAACAGTTTTGGGATACTTCCATCCGACGATGGAAATTGGGAAGCCAGAACCGAAAAATCAAGCTGATTATCTTTGTATTCTTTCGCTAATTTCACCAGCTGGGTTTTTCCTTCCCATGTAAGCAGTGAACTCTGAAACGGAGATCTACAAAAAATAAAGTAGAGAGAAAACACCTTGCTAACAAACTCACTTCAGCAATTTTCGTTCTAGGATCTTTCGTTTGCTTTGGCCTTCCTTGTGCGCGGACTTTGTAGGTGTCTCGCTAATGAAATCACTTTCTTCATAGTCCCCATGCCAACTAGAAAAACTCTCGAGCCGACTGAATAGGGTACCACGGCCACAAACAACAAACTGTTTGAGACCACTTGCTCCTGGGTAGTATTTTAACCGGCAAATCGAGAGCACCATGAACACTGATGTGTTGGTAATTACAGACTTAACATCTAAAATCAAGAACATTTCAACTTCGATAGACTCTCCAAAAGCGCAAACAATTGGATCCCCAGATTTGTAGTGCGCATACCAGTAGTTTGACCGATCTAGACATTTTCAACAGTAAATGGTTTAACCAAAGGAAAAACGGCAGAAAAAATAAAATACTGTTTCTTTTCAATGAATGCTGCTCACGTTTTTTCTCTTAACTGGAGAGTGCTTGCCGTCAAGGCCTTCGTGCGCAAGAGTATGCGTGAATAAATGATGCGAAGATTGGTGATCAATTTGATTAAGTGGATAAGGAATGACGAGATTGAGTGATTTATTTCCATACTTATGTCACCACACCTCAACTGGTGCCAGGGTAAAAGTATTTGTCCTGTTAGCACAGGCTACATAAGTAGAACGCATTTATTACTCGCTCCTAGGGACTACCTCATTCTCCCTTCGATCTAGAGTAACTTGCGGATGTGGACGGTCTGCATATCCATCACCCCTCCAGGTGATCGGTTCCATATACCTATTACTCTGTTGTTGAAGCAGTGAAAGTGCACTGTGGTCTTTGACTTCTTTATTGCTCACATTTTGGGAGCACTGAAAAGCATCGTTTGTAGGAAGCCATGCAGATATGAGTCCAAGATCGGAGGCAAGAGAAGCAATAATGGCATTA